ATAAGAACTCGCATTTCGATACCTGATACATATATCTGTATACAGGCGTATCGCAATAATAAATCTCACATTTTTGTCATTTCTTAAAAAATCGCAATAATAAATGCACGCAATAATTCTGAATCAAATTACAGTATGTTGCTTTGGTTGACGTTACACTTCTGTCACAGTTGTGGGTTGGTTGAGTCACACATTGGTCACAAACCTGAATAAACCCACCTCATACCATATGTTTAAATAAAAAGAGATGTCCAATAATACAAATAACCAAAAGACATTTACCATTACTCTAGACATCTACATCTATATGTCTATCCAAAAGGAAGAAGCCAGCATTACAGTGGCTGATTTCTGTTATATTTGTTCTTCAATGTTATTGACTTCTAACAATCCTGTTAGTTGTCTCCTTAAACATTTCACATTTAAAATTATGTATGACATTTACAGCTAACTGTACGATATCGGTCTCTACCCATCCAAGGCTGAAAGTTGGAACCCCACTTTTAGGGGGAACTTTTTTTTCAAATCACTTAAAAATTGACAACTTTTAAAGCTGGAATGGCTCCTCCCTTTTGCAAAAGATACCAAGAGAACAACCACTGCTCGCATTTAAGAAATTGCTTGATCTGTGTCTGTCTATTTCTGGAACTGTACCTGTACAACAACCACTTTTGCACTGTGGCATCAAACAGCTTTTATTGACACATCAATATTTTAACTGTTGGCCTGTGGTGTCCAGTAATTGAAATTCTCAACAATAAGGTGTATTCTCTGTCACATGATTTTGCCTTTTGGTGGACTGTTGTCTCCTTGGCAGTCCTACCACATCTCTTTATTCCTTAATTGCATGGTTCACCGTATTTTGAAAAATGTTAACATTTCTAAGAATAAAAATAACACTGAACTGTTAACTCTGTGGTATGAGTCAGGCTTATTTGGTTACTTGTTTGTGGGAATTTATCATCAGCTTATTTTGCAGAGAAAAACTTATTTTACAAGAATCATTAATGTATTCATATATTCACCTGATTAAATGACGAAAAAGACCCAACAAAACAGTAATCAAAACAATTCAACTATATGTATATAAATAGGTAAACATGTATGTTTCTGAATTTTACATCTCAAATAATTAAAAAAAAATGTGTTATACAACTCAAGTAAGTAAGACAACTTTGTTTTACAACTCAAATAAGTAAAAAAAACACACCTATATCAGAACAAACTGAATTGAAACTTCAAAGTATACTTGAACATAAACAATCTCTCTAGTCAAATTTTCTTTATTTTAGAAGCATAATTTCAATAATATTTCTTTCTTTTACAAAGGCTGTCAAGTGCCTTTCAAATATTGCTGAGATCTAGTCTGGATTTATATTAACCCCAGTTACTAATTTTATAACTGAATGATTTTCCCTAACTGGTATTTATCACTTTTGTAATTTTCTTTTATTAATTTCTATACATCTTTTCAGTAACCAAAAGATCAAGCAGAGTTAAGAAATCTGTAAAAGCAACACACCTTTTTCCTGTTCATATGTAAGTTTCTATAATATTTAACTTTTAGATACAGTGATATAAAAGTGAGGGCTATTTCAGTATTTGACCTATGTGTTCTTTAGATGTAAAATATTAAAAAAAAAGTTCTAATCTAAATTATATAAAATCATTATATATCATATCTTATAAATAGTAAAGGATTTGTGATTAATGTATGAAAAAAAAACACATACATATTAAAAGTTACTTAAACAAATTTTTTTTTTAAATATAACACTTTGTAATCCCCCAAAATTGAGTCTAAAAAACTGCTTTTCTTGCAAACATCCTTTCTTTACCTACATTTTGACGCTGCTTAGATCTTCGCCTTTTCAATAAAATAAAAAGTAAACTTTTAACTGTCAACAGCAAACAATATGTATATAAAAGGACAAAATTAATTATTGTAATTTGAGGATTGTTTTAATTTGAGGTGGAATTGTAAATGACAAGATATTATTAATAGCCCCCAGGGAACAGTCATTAGGGGGATGACCTCTCTGTCACTGACAGGTATCCAGTCACTCCTGACAATAACAAAATTGTCTCTATAATTGAAGAAGTCTAGTTAAGATGCAAAACTGTAAAAGGCAACTTCTAGCACAAATTATTTTGATAGTAATCATTAGGACTTATCTGAACGATTGTAAAATGATGATTGTGGTGTTTTGTTAATTTAGTCCGAATCAATTTGTATGCAAACAGATTGCCGCAAGACTGACATTGATAAACATAGGATCTCTGTTAATGACATCCACAGATGAGGTCCCTTTAATCTGTAACGGTGTTATTCCATATTAGAATATTGCTAGTAATCATTATTTCTTTATAATTTTATACTGAAATCTAATGAAAGATAAAGAAAATTCTATTTAGAAAGTCTTATTAGCTTGAATTATGACAAATAAAAATGGACTTTTAATGACATATATTTGTCATTTTAAATCTTTTCTTGAAATTTACAGATTTAAAACAAAGAAAATATGATGTCTTAAATCATCATTTATATCGCCAGATATGCTTATCATATTTGTCCCACAAATCTCTCTTTTCCTAATCTTTTCTGTAAATCCATGGACAAAAATGATCTTGAGAATACTACTGAATTAATAACATCATTTTAAGCATAAAATAAAATGACACAATAAGTATGACAGATCATTATATCCTGTTACTAAATGTATGAAAGTTCACAACCTATTAATTAATCCTAAAAAAGATATAATTCATTTATTATAAAATTATATTTATATTTAAATGTTAAAATTAATTTTCTTTACTTTAACAATTTCATAAAGGGTGTAAACAAAAATATATAACATGTCTTCTTTTATACTTTAAATAAATTATTCAATTGTCATCTAAAGCTGCCTCAAATTAGCTTTGTGTTCCAAAATAAACATTAATTTTCAGAATTCTACCAATGAAACTCAACTATAACAACTTGATCTTGGCTATTAAAACTATCATCTTTTCATGTCAACATTTAATAAAGGGTTTCCATAGAAATGAAACAGGCTTATAAATGAGGAGCCAGAAAAGAGTAGTTACTGTTGATTCGTTTTTATTCGTTGGATACCAATTTTTGTGGATTTCGTTGGTACATGGGAACCAAAAATTTAAATGTTCCACGCAAGTTTTCCTCAATCCACGACAATAAATGAATCTACAGTAGTTAAGAAAATATTCTAAAAAGTTGAATATTTTTTTTAAAACAAATAAACAAAAACTAAATTTAATTGCATCAGTTTGACTTCATTTATTTTTGGATTTTGAAAATTTAAATTTACTATCAGATGGTGGCAGTTATATGCGATGTAAGACATAAATCATCTAATGAATAGAAAGTTTTAAAATAACTGTTCTATAAATCTTTTAAGTCAGGCAACTTAACAAGTACAGGGCTGTTTATAGTAGGAAGTTAAAAGAGCAGTCCTTATACAGTCCCAAACAGTTTTGGATCACCGTTCAACATGTTCGGTAAAAAGGAAGACTAAACAATACAAATGTTTTATATCGTATTATGACAAGGCAGTAAAAATTCTTCCCAAACATTCACTTTACATGGTATGTCAGATTCTTTTTATCAGTGCCAACATTATTTATTACTACTGCCAAAAAGGCAGAAAGTAAAACAGGTCACTGGCTTATAAATATCTTATTTAAACATTATTTGCTGGCATTTAGACATAATGTTTACAGGACTGGCACATATTCAAATGGTTATAGTTTTGCAATATACAAACCCAGAATATGCAGATGACTTTAAGGATTCTGTATCTTGGGTTTTAATCATTGATTTATACCACACATCTTATTTAATTAATTTAATTCATATGCATGAAATTGTTAATAGCTAGTTCCTGTTATAAACTTGCTTTAACGTGTAATATCATATTTTTTTACTTCAGTTTTGGCACCAACAACACTGCCCGCATAAACAGTACAATACTTATAAGTCTGGAGGGCAGATAATGACTTCCTATAGCGCTTCAACTGGTGATCATATCATCAACTGTCATGACACTGCATCAATATCATCTCCACTTTCAGAATAGAACACCATACTTAATCTGATGCATGCCCTTGCTTGGAAACTGATCATGTGTTTTATATACGCATGCCCTTGCTTAGAAACTGATCATGTGTTTTATATACGCATGCCCTTGCTTGGAAACTGATCATGTGTTTTATATACGCATGCCCTTGCTTGGAAACTGATCATGTGTTTTATATACGCATGCCCTTGCTTGGAAACTGATCATGTGTTTTATATACGCATGCCCTTGCTTGGAAACTGATCATGTGTTTTATATACGCATGCCCTTGCTTCGAAACTGATCATGTGTTTTATATACGCATGCCCTTGCTTGGAAACTGATCATGTGTTTTATATACGCATGCCCTTGCTTCGAAACTGATCATGTGTTTTATATACGCATGCCCTTGCTTGGAAACTGATCATGTGTTTTATATACGCATGCCCTTGCTTGGAAACTGATCATGTGTTTTATATACGCATGCCCTTGCTTGGAAACTGATCATGTGTTTTATATACGCATGCCCTTGCTTGGTAACTGATCATGTGTTTTATATACCTGTACTCTATGCAATCAAAATATATTCCATATTTATAAGTTTCATATTGCGTATTAAGAGTTGGCATTAATATGCATTTTTGTTATCCTTATCACTTCATGGCTGTCCTCAATTTTTCTTGGTTTTTATGCACACAAAAGAACCATGACAACCTCATAGTTGGCAAATAGAATTGTATTTAGTTAAATCATTGTATGTCAAGCTTTTTTTATGCAAACAGGATGTTATTCATATAAAAAAAAACATGTTGTATCAAATTTGTTCTGTTCTATGTTTCTGCATTTCATTTTTTTCTAGAGTTGAAATAATTTGTTAAGCTCTTAGGGTTATGGCAAAATGTTCTTCAAATGAAGAAAACTTACTTGTGAAAGCCCAAGGTATATTGAGACAGTTTCTGATATGTACAAAAATCTTCCATCACTTCCAAGAGCAAAGGCAAAACCATCCAGAGACTGAAAACAAATATATGCAAATTTAATATGCATAGTTACAGTTAAATTAATTGACATGCCTTTGACAGATAAACAATATGGTAATATATATGTATGCAAATTGAAAAATATTTTCTATCAATAAAAGAAATGAAATTCAGTTGCATGCTACCATTGAAACTACTAATTCATGATGTCAAGTTAAATGTGTTCTTGCTTCTTTTTGTGTTAATTTAGTTTTGGTAGTCTTGAGTTATCATTCGCTATAAAATCAGCCGTACTCTTGGCATGTTATCTTATGATCCTTGTTAAAGAAAAGTGATCCTGATATTCAAACTATCATTTCCAAATTTAATTGGTACTTGAAAATAAGCAGACATTTTTACATTTGTCCATACAATTCATTTTAATTAAGTTTTCAGATTAGGAATAAGTAACAGACAAGAAAGAAGCATGGCCCGACATAACACATTGACACAGATGGTTGAAGTGATTTGTTACTTAAACATCTACTGTTTGTAAGACACAAATGATGCCCCATAATAATAGAATTTAGATATGTTTTCACATACACTACTACCAGCAAAATCCATTGAACTGCAATGGCAATCAGAAATATATGCTTTAGACAATATCAAGAATTGTTTTCAAATGGAAATTTATATCACAGATCCTATTGTATCTGCTGGAATGATAGCCAACAAAAGGGTGCGATTCAATGGGCCTGTAATCCAGTGTTGTCTTTGGTCGCTATCTGTTGTTTTAGTTTAAATCAGGCTGTTGGTATGGGCCTGTAATCCAGTGTTGTCTTTGGTCGCTATCTGTTGTTTTAGTTTAAATCAGGCTGTTGGTATGGGCCTGTAATCCAGTGTTGTCTTTGGTTGCTATCTGTTGTTTTAGTTTAAATCAGGCTGTTGGTTTTTTCTACTAAATTGTTATATATTTTGCCATCTAAAAAACTTTTATAGTTTACTATATATGGTATGAGTTTTGACTTAATTGTAGTTGAACCCATCCTTAACCTTTGGTCTTCAGTGTATAGTTGTCTCATTGGCAACCATACCATTTCTCCTTAGTTCCATACAAATGCAAAAATTCATCAAAAATCATCATTTAAAGTCAATAACTCCTATAAAGAGTTGTCTGACAATGCTGTTGGTAAAATTAGATATGGAATATCTGAGCTTTTACACCTCATGAGAATTTCTATACTATGCTCTTAAATCCATCAGACAATTATTTTCGTTCTACCCTTGTGAGCTATTTTTAGCCATAGTGGCCATGTCGCTTTGAATATGGGTCAGCGGACACACTTTTTATAGTAAACTCTTTAAAGATGTGTAATCATTTTAGTTGGCTAGGAGGAGATGATTTGTTTAAAAGTCCCAGAAAACAGGCATCAGATGCTGAGTAATGGCAAAATGATTAAACACAAAGCTTATTTATTGTAATGTATTTGACATGGTTCTTTTATGATAATCAAACAATGGAAAATAGGCAAAAAATATGTAGTAAATCTTTATCATTTGCACTTTTATCAGGTGACAATAGATGGACTTTAATAGGCAATCAAAGTTAGAAAGAAATTAACATAATAACCCATAAATCTCATATAAATACATTAAAATACCCTATACAATATGTACAAACGTCATTAGGAATGAAATCATACATGAAATTACAATAACACCAAATCTAGAACCATTTTAGTTTTTGTGATATATCCTCACAATTGAATTGAGTGAAATAAGCAACCACTGTTATGGCATTATACCTTTTGTTAATTTTGTTATGATGCAAAATAATTATTACCTATTTTTTCTCAATTGCCATCAAATGACAAATGAAGCATGAATCGTGTGCCATTGACATTGATATTGCATGTAAATTGACCTTAAATTATAAGGTCAGCTGATGGTTATTGTCCTTTATTGGACTTGATCTTTGTTGGATTAGGATGGATTATACTGGTCTTTAACATGATCATTGCTTCTAATATTGTCTCAGGAAATGAAAATTGTTCTTTGTGGAAATTCAATAAAATCAAATGGCATAATATGTCTTTGTGAGCATTGTTATTTTACAAAGAGTAGTGCATCAAACAAATAATGTTATTACTGTAAATTCAGAAATTAATGCGTTCAATTATCATTGCTATTTTCGAAGAATAGACAAAAATGCAAGATTAATTATTGCGATTTCAGGAAAATCGACATACGGATATATGTGTCAGATATCAAAATGCGAGTTCTTATTATTGCAATAGTTACCCAGTCGCAATATTCGCATTTATCTGAATTTACAGTATTTACTCATACTTAAAATGTATTGCTTAATTACTGGGTCATTTCAGATGTGGAATTCATATATGACTAAACGGATTTAAGCAGCAATGATAAATTTTTACAGAATACGAAAGCAGTTCAGCAGTCATTTCAGTCTTGTTAAGTAAAAAATTTTGGTACAATCTACTGATATACTCTCATCTTTCTCCATGGAAGTAAAGATAGTAGTTCATGTCTTTGTCAGTGGGTCTTAGGTAGGTCAAAATGAGAGATTTAGAGGTCATTCCTAAATGAGTTTAATTTATAAATATTACTGACAAAAGCTAGGTGTGAAAATACCACTTATCATTAAACTCCTACAGTATTTCCTCTAGAAATCTCTATATTTGAAATAAAATTTAGGTTTTCACCAATTTAGAATATATGAACGTTAAAGAGAATTTTAGTTATGGAAATATTGTGTTCTTTGAATTCTGAGGTATTGTAAAGAAACTAATCTATGATAAGGGGGGTACAGTTAGTCTCCATTGGAATACCAAGCGCTTTACATTATCTTTTGAACGTCAGTATAACCCTAGCCAAAATGGGGGGTACAAGCTCTCTGCATTTTAAGAACCTTTGCAACAACTTTTAGAGAGGTCCGTAAGTGGCCTGTTGCAAGGCTTCCCTATCCAATATGCCCCCATTTTCCAATAGCATTCTAAAATTCCTGTCCATCATCCCCTTATTGCAGGACCCACATATTGTATCAATAGGCCCTTTCACGGTTATTGTAGCCATATTGAATAGGGGGAAGATTTTTATAATGGAGGTGCAAATGGTTTGAAAAATACAGTAAAACATAATTGAAATAGAACAGTTGCTTGGAAACATGCATAGGATTTCCCGTAATTTCACACTATTTCCACCTCTATCCAAAAATTCTGCCCCCTATTTAATATGGTTGCAATAACCCTAAAGTGACCTATTGTTCATTTGTTCTCAATCTAAACATGCATGAAATATTTACCGCTGGATGCAAAGCTAACGACAATCTATCAATCAATCTTGAATGAAGAAATCATAATTTACTTCTAGTTATATAAATGTTTTTTTTCCTAAATATAAGATGATTTATGCATGCAGTTGGAGACAAATTTATTAAGTTATGTAAATATTTGTGCACCAATTGATCTGTAAGTGGAGGACTTTTATATGTACTGGGGCCAAAAATCCTGTAAAAAGCAGTCAATAAGATGAATTAAGATTGAACTTCTAATGTTAATACTAATAAGCAAATCATATTTTAAAATAAAATCTACATTAATGAAGTGACAATAACAGAATTATTTTAAGAAAAAGATATTTTAACTTGTCATAAAGTGTTGTTTTTTCATAAAATATAATGTACAAATTAGTGTTTATTATTGATAATCACCATTTATTACAAAAATGATTTGTCACTGTCAGAATGAATTTAAATATTAATTATTGGTAAATCTAGTTTTAAAATGTCCAAAGTGGGTGGTGCATGCTCTCATGTCCATCCAATGAAGAAAGTTCTAATTTGCCATTAACTTTCCAGACTTGACAAAACTTTAGTCTTACAGAACTCTTATACCAATAGACTTAATTTGTAGACAAATATAGAAATAATGTGCATACTTTAAAAGAAAAATGAATTCATCTACACTTTTGTGACAGTGCCAAATTGCAAATTTCTTGAAAAGAGTAATTATCTATAGGTCAATAAAGAAGACCAAAAGTTCATCCGAGTCATCTATTTTTTTTAAAGTGACTTGGTATTCAAATATCTTAAATAACAAAAAGAAATTTTTAGCCACTCTGGCTAAATAAACCTAAAGTTTATAAGTTTTGTAGTCCAAATATAACACAGAAATAGAATTCTACAAAAAAAATTCACGGGGAAAAAATGTTGAACATTCTCAAAATGCATATATACCTGTAATATATGTGTCCCCTGATGGCTTTCAATCAAATCTACACTGGTCAAGTTCCGTCGTCTGCCATGCCCTGATAAAAAAAAAACAAATATGTTTTTCAAATTTTAGTTGTTTTATTATATTTGTATGTGAATAATTTTTCCATGAAACAATTTAAAATTACAGAACTTCTAAATCGATTTTTTTTTTTATCATTCTAGAACACTTTTTTTGTGGAAGTCAAAGTACCAATGAATGTGATTTTAGACTTAAAGTATTCAATCAATACAAAGTCTTGAATTAGATTATAGTATATATAAACAAGAAATATTGTGTGCATCAAGAATGGAAATTATTGGCATACAGAGTGATTAATATAGATGTCAGCCATACCTAAATAAACTAATTCCTCAACTATCCATGACCATCCATGTTGTGAAAAGAAAGGAGTAGGTTCAATAAGGTCCAAAAATGGCCCATATTTACCTCACAAATATAAAATAAGGACTTATTGACCAATTTCACAATGTGTTACTATAGCTAAAACAACGACAAGATAGGAAATAGGTCTATTTGTTGAAAATTAACGTACTAGCATTGTTTTCGTGATGTCACAAATAACATAATGTTTACCTTTATTTTCAATGAAAATATATATGAAAATTGACCAATTTTCATTGTATTTTATGACATGAAATATAGAACGCATGGGTTGACAAAAAAGATCTTGTAACATAATGTTTGTTAAAACAACTTACATATCTGACTTAAACATTTAGTTTGTGGAATCCTGCGATCTTTGCTTTTTAGGCCTAAATTAGGTTGAAATCCAGACGATTTTGTCAATTTTTACAAAAAATCTCTACTTTTGACCTATTTCACTTTCTTACATGTCTTTTCATTAACTTCCTACATTTTTTTATCTGGAAACAATGGACTTTATATTCTGGGCTAAATCTGGCACTTACCAAATTTACTCCTTTGATGAACCATCATTTTAATTTTTGTGTACCAGTATTTTTCTAACTCTAAAATTCTACTAACAATACATCAACCACCATACTAGGCAAAGTCAATCTTTATAAATATCCATTAATACCTTCATCAAGCAAAGAAAATAATAAGAACAATGATCATTTTAGTGAGTTTCAAATGCAATGGACAACCCTGTAAAAAATGGTCATCTGAATTTGATATGAACTGCTGTATAAAGAAAAGTTATAACCTTTCAACATTAGTGTTTGCAGATAAAGTTTCAACAAAATAAGGATATTGATACATCTATAAAACAATTTTTTCCAAGTGTAACATCATAGTTGTCATGTACATCTACCACATATTCCTTTTCTCATTAATAACAAAAAACTAGTAAAAACCAAACACACATACTACCAAGCCTATGGAAATTGATTCTAATGAATTAAAATAAACTCTATATACCTCTAGCACAGTGAGGTACCGATAAATTGGAAAATTCACTTTTTAGTTAAAAAAAAAGATTTTTACTGGATGTGATCAATTATAACACAGTTGGTTTCCTTTTCCACATAAAAAATATATGTGTTAAGTTTAATTATTCTTTCCTTTTAGGTCAAATATGCGGTACCAATTCAGATATAATGATTAAGTAGTTGGTAAACCAGTATCATTATAAAAAATCAAACCAAAAATTTAAAAAGATCGATAATGCATTTATTATCTAATACTTAAACCACAGGTCTGATTGTATTATAATTATATGTAAATATTTTTAAAATGTCAAAAAATCTGAAGAGTAGGAAAAAGGTTATTGATCTACCATACAGAAGAAAGAGAAAACAGATAACCCAGTAGAGGCTATTGGGTGAAATGTCTGGGTTTACACCACACAAATACACCTTATCGCTATTTGTCCGCCATTACTGGACATCACACAAGTTCCCGTAAAATTTTTACGTCATAATAGAAAATGTCTGACGCCACAATGGAAAAGTGATTGTTGTATGACGTCAAAAGTTCGAGCGGGACAGATTCTCGAGTCAAGCGGGAATAGCGATAAGGTGTATATAAAGAATATAACTTTTGGAATTTTCTACACAAGAAATAGAAAGATTTCATCTTATAGTTTCTTCAATTAAAATTCTATAAGACCATATAAACATACATATATATAGATAAAATACAAACACAGATTACAGTAAAAAACAAAATTCAGTTACGTCAATTTATATGGAGAGTATTAAATATTAAAGACTGAGGAAAAAATATTTGACCACTATCAAATTCCCCTTCTGACTGGTATAACCTATAGGTAGACCAGTAAAAAATATGGTTATCAATTTTTATAGAGTGGAATCGATCCATTAGCAAATATCTATTGTAGGAATGTATAAAAAAGAAGGGTAACATGACCCCCCTAAACATGTAACATGCTACTTAACCTGTACACAAACTTTATTACAGGGTCACAAAACTTTTTTCAAGCTGCAGGGTATACAAATGTTTCAGATTTTGTGAGGATTATACATGGAACAAGAGGCTCCCGAGAGCCTGCATCGCTCCTGTGGTAAAAAATATGCCATTTTGATATTTATTTTACTTTTGTTTGCAATTGGTTATGTTTGCTTATTTGTAAATCTTATTTAGGGAAATTTTTGTAGATCTAACCAGTAGATTAAAATTTTCTAAAAAATTGGCAAAATTATAGGATTTGTAAAAAATAAAAAATCTCCATTTAAGGGCAATAAATACTTGAAGATCTTATTTTGGTGCTAATTTTTGCTTTTTAAAGTTTCTCTCTATCCACAAGTTTTTGACAAAAATGCAAAAAAAAATGGGTAAAGTTGACCACTCAGGGGAAATAACTCTCTTTTTTTTTACTATTTGTAAATCTTATTGTGCTGAACATTTTTGCTATTAACTATTCCTCTCTATTATAGTTTCTGCAAAATTATTATTATAATTTCTGCAAAAAATACAAAAATTGGTAAAAAAAATCTGTCAAGAGCAAAAACTATAAGGGTTCATTTGACAATTTTGCCCATATAAACTTATTTGTAGATCTTCACATTCTGAACATTTTTGCTTAACCAATTTCTTTTTATCTATTATAGTTTCCACTTAAATGGGTAAAAGACCTCTGAACTTCTGAAGCCTCAATGAAGAGACATTTATTGTCGAAATGCGCATCTGGTCTAGTCCTGAGGGTATCACCAGCCCAGTAGCCAGTAGTTCTATACTGGCATGAAATACAGATATTGTGTTATTAAAATTTACTTATATAAAATTCAATGGCCTCAAGCATCTCTGAAGAGACATTTTTTGTCAAAATGTGCATCTGGTCCAGAAAAATTGGTACCTTAAATATCATTTTAAGGGCAATCAACTCCTATAAGGGGTTTATTGATGACTTCATCCATGTTGACTTATTTGAAATCTAATTTTGATGAGCATTTCAACTGCTGAAGGGAAAAAAAAAACCATTTCAGAAGCAAAAATAATCCAAAATTGGTAGTGTGATATTTTTTTGGATATTTGTAAGGAGAATTATAGGTTTCATAACGAGTGAGAATGGGATATCACTTGATATCAACTCGAGTTATTTAATTTCAATATAATAATAAAAGAGCCTTCTGCAAGTTTATTATTACTATTTAAATTAAATAACAAGAGTTGATATCAAGTGATATCCAATTTTCACAAGTTGTTAAACCTATTTCTCTTATGGTCAACACTCTCCATGTGTTAAATCAAAAATTGCGCGAAATGTTGATCTAGGCTTTTGCTCATTCCAGTATGACGTCATATGTCCTTTTTCGGTGTCAAACTTTAACATAAGACATTTTAAGACTTTTTGTACGCTTCAGAATGTAATAAAATTTGACAAAAAAAAGATTGTCAGGGTGAAATGTGTGAGTGTTTTGTATATTATTGAAGAAATCACATATGTCCGTTGCCATGGACAAAATGTACATCATCTTAACCTTTGAAAGTCATCATTGACCAAACGAATAGCCAATGGAAATGCTGTATTATATCATCTTGTGATGCTGGATAAGCCATTCAAATAAACGCAGATTTTCGTATCACTTTTTTGTATCACACTCCGTGCAGTTTTGTCCATATTGTCAACAATCTATAGCTTGACATATTGTTAAAGTACTGTCTATTGTTGAAGACTGTACCTTGATTTCTAGATGTCTTTTGATTATTAGTGTCATTGGGTTGCTGTCTCATTGACAAATACACATGTACTCCACATCTCCATCAATGCATATCATTTACCATTTACTCTTAGGTGAAAAAGAAAGGGGGGGGGGTTGAATGAGTTAATATGAATACAGTGGCGGATCCAGAGGGGGGCGTAGAGGGCGTACCCCCCCCCCCCCCCCCCCTTTATATGCACTTTTTTTTTAATTAAGACTGTAAAATGATTAATCAGACTAGATTTCGTTGACTTTGTCACATTTCCCATATATTTTATGCGACAATTCGTTACTTGTAAAGATATTATTCCCTCGTATTTATGTGTAATATATTATTGATTATGTCAAAGTCAACACGATTCGCTATCGTAGAGTTGACCAGTATGTTGAAAAAACGTTACTCAGTCATTTTGAAATTCAAATTACAGTAACACATTGCTAAGGCTTCAAAGCAACAAAGGATGGAGCAAGGACGTATACACTCATATTTCACAATTCCACCCAACAGAAGGCAATACTCTATTACACTCACATGATAAAAAAAAGTTCCACAGCTATAATATTTACCTACGAAAACATGTTTAACCCCAGCTCATTAATAACATTTCTGAATAATATATACACATATACTTTAGTGAGAAAAATATTCTGGCCCTGACTTTTTGCCTTAAAAACATACTGGTCGTACCTGGGTTGAGAACAATAATCTTGCCCACTTTTTGCTATTAGAAAAAAAAAATTAATTAACATAAAATGTATAAAAAAAACGAGCGTAATTTTTGTTAACGCTTAAATGAATTACTGTTGTATGTCCCCTGTCCCTGTCTATTACTTTTGTATGTCCATTAAAACATTGAACTTGACTACGAGAGAATCATTGAAGATTTTTCTTGAAGAAATCAGAGGAAGATGCTTCTAGTTAACCCTACTTTGACGAAAGATTAGTGCAGAATATATCACTAAAAAACTCTCAATAAATGATTTTGTGGATTCATTTTTTATTGATAATTGAATAAAGTAAAACATCAATTATATAAGTATGTATGATCAGATACATCTGGCGTACGAATCACAAATTTGCAATGCATTCTTCAGATGTTAGTTGCGCCCTCTATTTCAGTGAATGAATTAGCTAGGGAAAGTATTTCCATGTCCATTTCTTACTGACAAATCCCACATCAAATATAATGGTACATAGATTTGGATCCATCCAATCAGTTTGATAATAGACAATTAATGGGGAGAATACAGGTCAGCATAAAAAATTTTCAACCTTTACACTTTAACTATAAAACATACATGCCCCACGTCAGGAACCGTTAAATTAGTGCATTTTACACTTATTTTATGTTTTTTAGCCCCAAAAAGGTCCAAAACAAAATTCGACTCGCTACGCTCGGCGAGCAATTTTATTCTATGCCCCCACTTTCAAAAATCCTGGATCCGCCCTTGTGAATATCACCTGATGATATGGAGAAATGCATTACTTTAGAAACAATTGTTTTCATGAAATGCATGCATTTGCAAAAAAAGAAAGACAGGTGTACTGCATTGATTAAATAAATACTTTGAAACTTAATCTTGAAATACTAATAAAACAATGTACGATCAAATAATCTCCCAGAAACATCACATGTAAATGATTTCTATGCAAATATCTACAATTAAAATATCTGTTATGCTCTGACGTAGGTCTATTACAACAGAAGTCCAGCTTCCATTTCAGTGACTTTTTGAATTCTAAAGTTGGAAAGATAATGTTAACATGTGATAAAGATTTATCTGTCAATAAAGTCAACCAAATTAATGCCAAGCAACAAAGATATTACCTTCGGGTCAAAGAAAAACTGCAAAGGGTATACAACTTGAAACATTTTCATCTTTCTGTTTCATTCAACCTCTGACCCTATTGGTTACGCTTCATTTAGATTGCTGGCATATCAGATAACATGCTTGAGTGATAAATCAAACAAAAAACAGTATCAAAGACCAGATAGGAATTTTGGTAACATCATCTACAAACAATGTAATTGCAAGTAAAAAATTACATGGCTGGGCGAAATTTAACCGACTTAATAAAAAGTGGGTGGGAATTAAAACACCTGGTTAAATAGATATACTACTTTACCATTCAGCTATCTTTTATATGATACTTCAATATCTATATATCTTGATGAATAAAAAGACTTAAGTTATCAATAATAACCTCTTTCAAATTTATATAGAATTGTATATTCTAAGTGGATTCTTTTTTTTTAATTGACACACAAATAAAAGAATTTTTACTGATTCTTCTGAAATCTATGGTGTTTAAATAACTTTTCAAGAGCTTATAACTTGATTTAAACCTGAAGTCAAATGCCATGTCATGAACATGCATTACCTTTATGAAGTCAGCATATTAAACTTGCTATTTATTCTTCTTCAATGCATTAATTTAATAATTATCTATTAATGACCTTAAACAAAATTGATAAATGTTGTAAGATTCACATGTCAAGTAATTAACCAGACTTTACAAATCAGCTTTTTTGAGTCTGCTGACATTTTGTCCTGTGACGAAAAAACTATCACTGGAAAAAGCCCTATTGTAATTGCACAAATGTATCAACTTTTCTCCAACTCAGAAAAATTAATTTAATGGCAAGATTTATCATAGAACCTATTTGGTATTGTGTACTTCAGTATTTTACATTGCTTTTAGCAGCAAAATGGTCTATTTAGAAAAAAAATAAGTATTTAGTCAGTTTGAAATGAAAATAATCAATGAAAACATATATTAGCTTACATTTGATGTCTAGATCATTGCAAAATTGTATAAACTAAAAAATACTCTGAGGATAATTATAGTAATACATCTCCCTCAAGAGACAGGCCTTCATGGAATGAACTAATCTAAGAAATAAAAAAAATATATGCTAAGACTTCCATCAAAGTCTGTAGAGCTGACACCTATGAACTTACAAGACTTTTGAAATGAGAAACAATTACTGTAAATGAAGCACAACCAGTGTTATAATTTTTGTATTATATTGTCTGTCTGCATATGGGCGTTACACATTCACTGTTTCTACCAATAATTCTGTTAACATTGTCAACTGCTTTTTGTTGAATTGCCAGAATCTATTGAAGTAAAGACAATTAACTATGTGAGGGTTTGGATGGGGCTTTACAAAATAGAGAATAATGGGCTAAAAATAATAAGTATAGAGAAAAATGGACCATAATACATAAAAAATAGAGAATAATGAGGTGTTAAAATATTAAGAATAGAGAATTATGGGCCAAAAATATACAAAGCACAGAAAAATGGTCTAAAAAATTAAGAATACAGAAATAAAGGACCCCCATTCATACCCTCCTATGTCAATGAACTTTTTCCATCCCTTACAATCACAATCACATTTTGAATAATCTTAAAAATCATTTCATGTTAGCATGACTGACAAACAATATACAAAGAAGCACATTGATTATTTATCATATCTACAGACCAAAACACCAGTGGGAGTACAGATCATTTCTACTGACCAGAACACCAGTCTGAGTACAGATCATATCTACAGACCAAAATACAAGTCTGAGTACAGATCATTTCTTTCTACTGACCAAAACACCAGTCTGAGTACAGATCATATCTACTTACCAGAACACCAGTCAGAGTATAGATCATTTCTATTGACCAGAACACCAGTCTGAGTACAGATTATTTCTACTGACCAGAACACCAATCTGAGTATAGATCATTTCTATTACCATAACACCAGTCAGAGTACAGATCACTTCTACTGACAAGAACACCAGTCTGAGTACAGATCATTTCTACTGACCAGAACACCAGTCTGAGTACATATCATATCTACAGACCAAAACACCAGCCTGAGTACAGTTCATTTCTACTGACCAGAACACCAGTCAGAGTACAGATCATTTCTACTGACCAGAACACCAGTTGGAGTACAGATCATTTCAAATGACCAGAACACCATTCTGAGTACAGATCATTTTGACTGACCAGAACACCAGTCTGAGTACAGATCATTTCTACTGACCAGAACACCAGTCTGAGTACGGTTCATTTCTACTGACCAGAACACCAGTCTGAGTACGGATCATTTCTACTGTAGAAATTTTTCTTCATGTATATTATCATGATAAAATGACCAGTAAATTTTGCAACTAAAAATGCTAAAAACCGTTTTCCATCAGGGGGCAAAGCCCCCTGGATCTGCTGGGCGGCCCCCAGACCCCCTGCCGCAATTTGTGCCTACAGTTTATTGGATACCTAGCTACGCCCCTGGTATATCAAAAGAGAGAGACCAGAGCATTTGTCTTTAATGTTGACTATAAGGTTTGACCTCTTTGAGACCAATCATATCTGAGAACCTATAGAATTAAATGTTGAAATATTGAAGATAGGAATTAAAATTCAAAGAAATAAAAAGCATGAATAATAACTGATGAAAATAAATGCTGCACATCACAATAAGTGATTACATAGTTGTTTTCGTTGGTCTTTTTTCATAGTCTCTATCATCATCTGTTATTCATATTTGTTTTATGCTATGGGAAGTACTATATTTCACAAAAATTTAGACCAGTAATGGTAAAAAGACAGTGGACACAGCAGACTAGGTCTATTGGTCCAGTCAAATTCAAAAAAGTTAATATTTATTTTTCTAGTATCTGCTGAGTTTGTCCTACCACCAGTCTGAGTACAGATCATTTCTACTGACCAGAACACCAGTCTGAGTACGGTTCATTTCTACTGACCAGAACACCAGTCTGAGTACGGATCATTTCTATTGTAGAAATTTTTCTTCATGTATATTATCATGATAAAATGACCAGTAAATTTTATGTTTTTTGTACACAAAATTTTGCAACTAAAAATGCTAAAAACCGTTTTCCATCAGGGGGCAAAGCCCCCTGGATCTGCTGGGCGGCCCCCAGACCCCCTGCCGCAATTTGTGCCTACAGTTTATTGGATACCTAGCTACGCCCCTGGTATATCAAAAGAGAGAGACCAGAGCATTTGTCTTTAATGTTGACTATAAGGTTTGACCTCTTTGAGACCAATCATATCTGAGAACCTATAGAATTAAATGTTGAAATATTGTAGATAGGAATTAAAATTCAAAGAAATAAAAAGCATGAATAATAACTGATGAAAATAAATGCTGCACATCACAATAAGTGATTACATAGTTGTTTTCTTTGGTCTTTTTTCGTAGTCTCTATCATCATCTGTTATTCATATTTGTTTTATGCTATGGGAAGTACTATATTTCACAAAAATTTAGACCAGTAATGGTAAAAAGACAGTGAACACAGCAGACTAGGTCTTTTGGTCCAGTCAAATTCAAAAAAGTTAATATTTATTTCTCTAGTATCTTCTGAGTTTGTCCTACCTTTTAAAGTTTTATTATTTGGTAAAGCATCTCTGTTCCAAGGTGGATCACCATGATTAGAAAATTCACGTAATTTGAGGTAACTTATAGACAGACGGATGATCGATGCTTTGTCCAGTTGACTTGTGATTGCAGCAGGCAATGGCAATAACTTTGCAAGTTCATAAAATTCATAATTTTCTTTTCCTCGCCTTGATCTGGCAGCATCCCGTGATTTTTCCTTTCTTAACTCCAGGATGCTGAAAAGAAAGAAACAAGATGTAAGTTTTGGGTTTATAGTAAACGCTATTAAAAATTCTCCACCACACACATCAAATTTTATTTAAATGGCTGTTCAGTAATCTTTCAATCCTCAATCAAAAAATTAACCTTCCTTGATAATGTCTTACAATGAAAGAGCTCCTGACTCTTTTGTTTGGTCATAACAGCCAGTATCAGAGTACCAATTATTTTTTATATTTTAGAAAAAGATTCTGTAACCAAGGATAGTTTTCAGTTCCTATTCTGGATCTGATATTTCATTGAAAACTAAAATGTAAACCAAGAGTATAATGATGAGGTTTAAGAAATTTTTTTACAAATTCATAGAGTTTACCAAAACTTTTATTTTCAACTAGATTGGCACTGTGCATCTATATCACAGGACATTAACCTTACAAAAATAAACAAAATGAATTTTCTGGGTATATGACTAGATCTGGATGTACTTATCAAACACTAAAAATGTCACCAGTGAAACATGTCTAGAGAAAAGTGACATTTTCACATTGGTGACTGAATTAAATCATTAACCATGAAACAAGATTGAACATTACTACATAAAGACCGAGATTAGCTGCAAATCTGAAGAATATCATAAGTACTATTTTATTGTAAATGACTAAATTCAGAGCATCTTGGGGATTTTTCAATCAAAACGTTGAAAGTTTTACGAGAAAATAAGAAGTACAGTGCCTAATCATAGAGAGACACAATAATGAAATCTAAAGCCCTTGAAAAAACTTGTGGCAATTTCTTCCTCCCCATTTAATCAGCAAGCAGGAAATAAAACGATTATATTTTTTCTACTGTATCCCTAATGTTATTTTCTTTTACCAAGTTGATGGGCATTTACCGTACACTGCAATATGAGCATGAAGCGTAATTCTGTTTGCTTTATTAGATTACCATAGCTAAAAACAAGACAGTAATTTATTTTCACTCTATTTCAATAATTGAGTAATTTAATTATTCCAATAGTTTGTATGTTGATAAAGGATTATAAAAGACAATGAAAAATATTGACAGAAGATTGGCTTTAAACTCGCGGGATTGCACCGGGCAGTGTATTATGACTGTGTTCATCACAATGTTATTATTAGATCAGCCTCGTATCAACGAGAATTACTCGCCTCACAAATCAATTATCAAAGCCTAAGTAAGTCAACTTGTGGGTTAATAACATTAAAGACAACCAAACAGTATGTCTATCACTTGTAAACTTTGCCTTTAATAATTATTTTTACTTCATTTGCAAAAGAAAAGGAAAATGAAATTTAATATTACATCTGAACTTTTGATATCAATATATTTGATGAATAAATAATATTCTGAAAATGAAATTTTAGAGAAAAGAAAACCTCATCTAATGAAGTCCCTATTTCAATTTAAAATTATCACAAAATGATTCATAAAAATTAACAATCCTTTTATTTTGCTTTCAAACACATATTTGATTCCATTCAAAATAGGTGTATATATATTCCTATTGCAAATAATGAACATATAGACCTATCCTCCAATGGAATAAACCATGTACATTATTTTTCATATAGGAAGAATAAACAAAATTTCTTCATCTTTACATAAATTCAATTTCTAATACTCAACAAAACTATCCATCTATCTATTATCACAGACGATGACCTTACTTTGAATGGAATTGTGGACACCCTACCAGCCACAGACACTTCAAAAAGGTGGCTCAATCATAAAAATCTAGATCTGGCAATTATGACAACTTAAACATTACATTAAGTTTATACATAAAATAAACCTAAAAGACTCTCACCTTACTTAAAGCAATTCATAATTCTGTTCCCAATTTAATAATATAGATTATATAACATGTTCTAATGAAAATATTAAATGCATTTAAATGGGGGGAAATAAATAAATCTATTTGCAATAAAAGAAGATTTAACTGAAATAAATTTCAATATGCACTTCTTTTGTGGCAAGTTTCTTTTAAAGTAAGATAAATTTCATTTCACCAAGTAAAGTCAACATCTAATTAATTTTTTATACAACAAGCCTGTTTAACATGGTTAACTTCTTTTAATAAATATATGAATAAAATGAGATGCGGAGTAAATGTCAATGAGACAGACACCCAACAATACACATATCTAAAAAACATCTTGAGGTAATAACTTTACTGCATCTGATATCAGTAAAATGAATATTTAGTTTTTGTTACTGACTAGTTAATAACAAAGGGACCAGTTATGTTTAATGTACTTTTAAAAACTTTAAAGTTACAATGTCCTGAAGTCCATTGCCCTCTGATTCTGTAGATAAACAAAGTAATGTGTTGAAATTCACAATAAAATTTTTAACATCGATCACTCTTATCAAGTCATTTTGAACAAAAAAATAGAAGATTTTTCAAAAAATGTTATAAGCTATGATTTAGAAAAGTGGGACAATATCTAAAAATTGCTGTTAAAATTAATCCATCATTATTTCTATAAATTCATCAATGAATATTCATATATATACACAACTGTAATGTTTTCTACTATATCAAAGTAATTAAAATTCAGGTAGTAAATGTCAAAATGATTGAAAAATGAAGCGATGTTGTGGTAGTAGCAAAAAATTACATATGCAAAACAAATTACGTGGTTGTTAGACAATTAAGAGCTCATTTTTACAAGAAAAGACAGAAAACATAAAAAATTAAATGTTATTTGTCAAAAAAACTCATGTCAGCTTTTCTGACAAAAAATAATATCTTGCTTTTTTTGGCCTGTGATGCATTTGCCAAACATTTAAAATTTAAATGCTTGAAATGGGTACGCATGCACTTCTTTTTATGCAATAAGAAACACAATGATTTTACCAGTTCAAAGTTGATAACAGTTAATTAATACCTAGGACAATGCATTCAATGCTAATCTGGTTAAATCAAAATACTACAGTATTCATTTTAATGTAATTGTTCAAAGCTTTTAACACAGCATAAATGCATAAATGATACAGATATCCCCCCCCCCCCCCCCCCCACCACCACCACCACACCCATCTCCCCTCCCAATTTACACATATACACATATTACAATATTTCATACTCATACTTAAGTATTAACATTCAATGACCTAATGGAATCTTTGATGCAAGGTTCAAGCTGATAAAAAAAGGTCTCTAGTGATTTCCACGATTTTCACTGTTATTTTTCAAGAGTTATGGATATCAATAAAAAATAATTTATTTTCCATATTTCAAATAATACTTTGATTGTTTTGACAGAATGATCTGTCATTTTACACAGAATTTTTTAACTATCACCAGTTGATAAATATCAAAGGGAATTATGATAGAATCTACATTTAAGAGATCTGATCATCTTTTATTGGGTATAAAAATGGGTGCATCATGTTTTTATTTGTAATTGTTGTTAAAAAAAATGCAATGACTATTTAAATTATAAAGTCAGTAATTTTTCACTGATTTTTCATAAAAGTAAAATGAATATCCATCATAGTGTGTGCTTGCAACCTTTGAAAATACTAATTAAAATATTTAAATTATATAAATTCCACTTACAGATAGAATGCCAAAGCTGAAATAATAATCCTTCATACCAACTATTCATCCAATACATAAAAGCCTCAGAAAGTTTATAAAATTGACTTTATCTATCACTTAAAATCCTTGTTAATGTATTTTATTGTACATAAATGGATCAAACTTATATCTTTCTCAAGTGACTATAGAGAATTTGGACATCGTTCAGGATTAAGGTTACATTAGCTTAGTAAAATGATACAGATTTGTCACTTCACTTCACACTTTAAATATACATGAATTTAACATTTGCTTCAATTACCACTCAAAAACTTAGGAGATGCAGGGTGGTAGGGAGAAGACATTAATAAGGGCACAGCAGATCAAAACATTCCCTTGTACCAGAAGAGAAGTCAAATGTCTGCTTCTTGTACATTGTGATTATAATCTTAACCTCTAACCTTGCAGTAAGAGTTATCCTCTTCTTTTGATGATATTAACAAAGGTCGATGAAAACTTATTAAACTGCTAAGATGTATATAAAAATAAGGAGATATGGAACTATTGCCAATGAGACAACTTTTCACCAGAGACCAATGGTAGTGAATGTAAACAGCTATAGGTCACAATAGTCTTCAACAATTAGCAAGTCCTGTAGAGTGAAGTGATTCCCACCTTACAAGACCCCATTTCCATTCTCAATTTTACCTCATGGGTAGTCATGGACGCTAAGAACCCCCTTCGTCATCGTCCTGTAGAGTGTTGGAGGGGCTTTGACCCCATCCCCTTACCCAACCTTTAACATTTAACCTTGCAAATCAATTTAACCTTGCAAATCAATAGGTGTGATTGTCTGTTACTTACAATTTGATGTACCATTTTTTTTAATTTGCCCAATTATTTTAACTTTTGAAAAGGACCTTTGCATCCAGCTTATTTTTTTACCTTTGATACTTAAAACAACAGGATCATCCTTTCTTTAGTAGACCATTAACCAACTAAACAAAATCTAAAGTTTTTAAAGACAACAATGAATGTATACGATCACATGACTCAAACTGTGATATACTGAAGTTACTGTTTAAGCATTTCAAAAAAATTTGATGTAATCTTTCTAAGAAAAGATTTTAAGAGACAGACTATAAATGATGAAAGTTATAAATGTTTTAATTGTTCAGGCAGATAATTAGCATTAGTATTTATTCAGAAAATTTGCATTAATATGGTCAAAACACAATTAGCATATAATGCCATAAAATTAGCATGACAGCAAAATAATTGCATGTACAAAGAAGGACAAAAGACAAAAGGGACACAGATAAATGTTTCTGTCATTGGTCTTTGACAAGCCACACCCTTAACAAAGGTTTGATGCATGAAGATGTTAGGATTTTTTAAAATAAATTCAAATTATTACACTTAAATGTAAACATCTTTTTCTCTTATTTTCATCATAGATGTATTAGACAA